AGAAAGATTCGTCTGACAGAGTCAGTGAAGCGCATCGTTCGCCGGCGACAACACCCGACTCGACGGGGTCACGGTCCTGAGGAGTGCCGGCGGGGCGGTACCCGTCAAGCGCACTCCAAGCCAGCCGCTGCGCTAGCGAAGACTCGAGGGTTCCAGCAAAAAAGAGTATTTCTGCACGACACATAATTATTTGTCGCGCTGTCGGGGTCATAGCAGTAGCAAAAGTCGACACGGACAAGGAAAAGAAGAGGAAGAAAACACCGAGTTTCTCAAACAGATTACTCCAAAATGGCCCTGTTACTTTCAAGAGATTATGCCACAGTCGTCGTTTTTCATGCCATTCAGCAGCGACACGTTAATTTTCACGATTCAAGCGGCGCCAAGTCATCAAGGCCGCTATATTTTATGCAGAAAGGGCGGCCAGCCAGCCAACTCGGTTTTTCAGCAACTTTAATTATTTCTTTTTGCCATTGCATCTCTCTTTTTCCCTTTCCACCGCGCTCTCTCTCTCTTTCGTCCCTTGCCAATCATCCCCCTTCTCCTCCCACTTCTCTGCTCCCCTCGGCTCTTGAGCAGCCTCCCCGAGCCCTCCATTACAGTACGTGAATATGCATTATTCAGGTGCAGCAAGCACCAGGTGCTTCAGAGAGCGCGAGAGCGGCGGCCAGAGAGAGGCTATGTGGAAAGAAAGAGGCGTCAGAACGAAAGATGGAAAGAAGACGTGATAATAAGAGACACAATCCAGGACTATAATGCGTTCGCCGACATAAAACACATGTCATCTACTGAGGTATACGGATCAGAATGAAATGGGCCTTATTATTGTATATTAACATACGCCAAAAAATACTTACAAGAAGAACAAGAACAAGAAAGAAAAATTAAAACATAACGCAGTTTTGCGGTTACTAAATATTTCCCCCAAAGGAAGGTGCCACGCCTGAAACAGGAAAATTATTTTCTAAGTCACAACAGGAGTGGCCGTCTTTTTACCTCAGTCTGGAGCACTTCCGTCGCGTGCTGCCACCCTTACAGAAGATTGCAAAGATACACGGCCCACGCGCCGCGCGCGGTCCACAAGGCAGCAGAATTAGCACATTGTCACCACGGACGTTATCTGTCATCAGTGGCAGAGAGAGAGAGAGAGAGAGAGAGAGAGAGAGAGAGAGAGAGAGAAATCCGAGCTCAATATGGGTCTGTGAGTTGAGACTTCAAGGAAACGCGGTTGGTGCAAAGTGCAAACTGCGCGCGTTTGAAAATACAAAATCGTCGAACAGGAATTAGCGTAGCACACACGTATACAATCAATGTATTGGGAAAATTTTAAAGAACTCTCGAACTTTGAGAAACGTTTTCAGATTTTGAGGAAATTACCTCAAAATAAGTAGGAATTTCCCTCATTATTTGATAAAATGTCCTCAGAATCTGAAGACTTTTTCTCAAGTCATAAGACTTCCGCAATGTTTTCCCCTTCTGTAAAAATCAGACGTTGTTCTGACTGTGGCACTATACACCAGAATAATGGGTGTTTGGTCGACTCTACGTTGACAGCTTTTGCCTTCGCTCAATTATTGACATGTGGCTGTTTTGAATTCCCCAATGCACTTATTAGGGCACGTCCACAACAACGCGAGCCGTCGCAGCAGCAACGCCAGCTGTTTGTTTGCCGTGTACTCGGCAGCCGGCCATGCGCGTCTGCTCGGTGCGAGCACGGTGTCACCTCTCTGTGCGAATGGCATGGCAGGGCACGGCAGCGCGGTGGAAATGAGAAGAGGGGGGAGAGGGGGAGAGAAAGAGTTGAATACAGGGCGGCAACAGCGAGCATGAGGGCAGGGGCGGCCATTGTTGGCAGCCATTGTTAGCGACACAGCTCGCTGACACGCACACAGTCACACAGACACACACACACAAACACATAACGCACAGAGGCCTTGCCAGCCTGATGCATATGGGGGCTTTGGCACGCCAAAGAGGCCCAGCCAGCCGAGCGACGCGGCTTTGAAAATTGAAAGTCACCCCCCGAGTGACACCAGAAGCGCACCAGCACTGCCACAGCGCACGGGTGGTGCAACACAGTGCAGGCCGTGCAGGCCGCTGTCCCGAGTCGACACGATATCGAAAGACGACGTCAGGGTGCAAAGCCTCATTGTGGATCTTGTTATGTGCATAAAGCATGTAGAATCAAAAACAAATATGAGTGTCTAAATACAAAATTTCCTGCATAGCTATTGAACTTATTCATACATGAAAAAACTTACTGCTCGATCAGAACAACTAGTAATTGCACATGGTCGTGTTAATGTCCAATTGTGGAAAATTTCATGGACATAGCATATGTTTATAATTGTGTTTATACAACATGTTTCTGCAACATGTGTTAGTGTGCAAAATTGACATTAAACACAAAGTCAATGCCACCATCTCGCGGCTACAGTGTACCTGCCCCGGCTCACCAACGAGAGTCACCGACATAGCGTCCGCTGGCGGAGAGACACTTTTCCGCTCGCACATTTCGGCGAATGCCAATGAGCCTCGTTCATCGGCAAGCGCCTCCCTTGATCGTAATGCCGAGCCATTGAGAGGAGCCGGGCTGAGCTGGGCCCGCGGGAGAGCGGGCGGGACATCAAAAGAATAATAGGACAACGCATTGCGCCCGACTCGGCAATGAGACCGCAATCCGAAGGCACCACTCTGACTGCGGAGAGACACTCTCTATTCAAATATGGAACGGCAAAATCAGAATGAATGTTTAAAACTGTGCATATGAAACAGATTGGTGAGACAAAACCGGGCAAAACGTTTGTTTCAGTTAGGCAATAAACTACGTACGTGTGAGAAAACTCCGGCACTGCGTGTCGCGTGTCGCCCATCCACGAATTCGTCAAAGGATTTTCGAAAGAAGCAGCACCAGAGAGACAAACGAACGCTCCAATTACCTTCTCCTTGTGCCCCACCCCCTCTTTTTTTTACCCCCAGCTTCGCGCCAAACAATTGCCGTCTGCTTCGCGAGCCGGAGTCCTTGACATCTTTGGCCCCGCGAAAAAGAGAGACTCTTGCGCACCGGCAGGACTGCAATGGGCGTGAGGACGGACGGAGAGAGAGAGAGAGAGAGAAACAGAGCTCATGAGCAGGACCGAAGATAGAAAGCATCGCGTGCGACGGCACAGGTGACTAGGATACAAGGTGTACTGCACATGGGGGTACTAATGTAATGTGAAAAAGGTACACTAGTCACCAAAGAGGGCGTGCCATCTAGGATGGCGTGAGCGGGATGGGTGACGCGATGAAGGGCAGGGCGAGGTCACACATCGTGCGAGCCCCGTTACCTTTTCATATCATTAGGACGAAGGCACCTCAAAAGCAGCTCAAAGACGGATGAGAAAGGGAATAAGGGGGGGGGG